ACAGAGCAAGAGATGAGTGTTCTGGCAAAGACTGAAGGAAGAATGCAATATGCTGTTTGATGCGCGAGTCCTTCGAATGCATGGTGTCGAAGAACGCTCTTCTACTCATTAGCGCACATGCACCAAATGTTAGACCTCCTGCCAAAGCAAAGCTCTGCCTGATATCCAGGCTATGCACGACAACATCGCTAAGTGGTCTCCTTTCTGTCCCGACACTGCATGGAGTGTTTTATTCGACATCATGCTTATCCAACTAGCCTACCCAATTCTTAGGATGTACAAACTGGATACGTAACGTGGACGCTACTCTGCTCATCATCGCCATCTTCGAAATAAAATGTTATAGCCGTGTGGAAACTACATCCAGCTCTCCCACTTGCCGGCCCATTCGCTGTGAAAGCCAGTCACTAGAGTCTGAGAGAGAGAGAGAGAGAGAGAGAGAGCGAGAGAGAGAGAGAGAGAGAGGTACACAAAGTGCCGGAGCCAATCATCTCGTTGAGTCGAAGTTGACACCCATAGTGCAACTCGGCTACCGTCTGGCGTATCTTACCAGCCCTATTCTGGCAATCGTTGTTTACTCCAGGAATGGAGACAAATTAAAAAGTGTTCCCTTGATGATGCCGGTAAATTGGCTGTCCGCATATTGATTGCGTGCTTTGGAGTCCAAAATGCGCTGTTTAAACACCCAAAGAGACAACAAGCCTCTTTAGCACATCGCCACCCTTATTTCCAAAGCGTTCACTCTGACAGCCCAGGTCGTCCTTTCACTTGGACGCATCGTCATCGCAGCAAAATGAGGGTCGCAACGACAGTCTGCAAAATCGTTGGCCACAGGACGGACGTCGTCAATCCAGCGTGACACGTTCACATACACTCAGGCAGCACAGCGGCATCAGCAGTAGCATACGACCTCTGGAACGCTTTATTGCCCCACGAAATTGTACCTACAAACATGCAGTCTCTATTCCGCCATGCACGTGATGAAATAGGCAGTTCTAGTAGTTGGTGCGCGCATGTTTGCATGAGGAGGATCACGGGAAGTGTTCAAAGCTCTCCACATGAACCAATGGGGTATCGACTACGGTGGTGCAGTGGCTGGACCCCGAAGCATGTAGACCCGCAGATCCACAGTAGTGCATTACCAGAAGATAGTCGATGGAAAGTCAGCCTAGCGTGCAGTATGTACTGACTGCAATCATGACCCGCTCCTCCACCCACCCCCTCCCCGAATATGCATCACCATCAACCTACGTAATCTCTTGCATCTGGGGATCTCGTTCAATGTATCAGGAAAATTAACGTCCACTTCACTTATCTCGTCCCAATCTATAAGTGTATGCAAAGGTGTCGGGGTAGAGTTGCAACCCCTTTGCGTAGCACTTTCTAACAGCCAGTATACCTGTCCTGTCTATCATACAACAAGCATCACGCAGGTAGCGTGAACAGCAAGGGATGTCCATTCTGTTCGAAAGACCTCGGGTCCCCTGCTCCAGTGCTCAGGGCGATTATGCCGGCAGTATTCACCCCCACCCCACCCCCTCGTCCCCCACCTCCCCCCCCCAAACACACACTGTAGTCCACTTATCCGGCACTCAGAATCAACGTAAACAATCTCCCGGTCGGATCACATTTCGTTGCCTTACCTGCAGTAGACATGGCCCAGCATAACCCCTAACCCTAACTCCGACCACCAACCTCACCCCACAACCCTAACCCCTAACCTTAACTCCAACCCCCAAACCTCATCCCTAACCCTGACACCTAACCACAGTCCCTAACCCTAACCTCTAACAGATACGGCTACCAAATAGGATCTGCCTAACCTCCGAGATACTTTGACACTTTACAGTGAATCATTTTATTCTAGTGAATAGATTCGAGAATAAAGTTTTCGACACAGGACTGAAAGAAATCAGCATGCAACTTGTGTGGCAGCTGCCAGCCAGGCTTCTGATCCGCGTCAGACCTGACGGGCCAGAGGGTTGAACAGCAGCCCGAACAGGCGAGGAGAGCCGATTCAGTCGACTGGCTGTTGGCATCCTGGTGTCGCCTTGACTCAGAGTGCCGGGATGCAATGTGCATTAGGGGCATCCGGAGGAGACGCTGTGGTAGGCAGCGGAGATCGGCAGGACCCATGCGTCGGAGCTCCTTTGTCTCAACGTAGGCAGGCCAACTATCCCGCATGTACGCTCTACCATAGACAGCCTGCAGCGGAAGACGACGGCTGTCTGGCAAGGAGTCCACCGAATCGGGGTTGCCATCCATAATCTGACCACCATTCCCCGATCCGTCCTCTGCGCCAATATCTCCCTCCAGGTCCCACACCACCAGGCCCTCAATCGAGTCTGAATGCATAAATTAGGTTTCCTTCGTATGTATGCGTACAATAAGCAGGTAGCAAATGGAAAAGACTTGGAAGTAGCATGCTGATCACACACCCCAAAATAATGAGAGCATTTCACTGTCCGAGCCGGTCAGCAGACTGGAGTGGGAATGGGCGCGGTGGCTGGCATGGTCGACAGGCCATGCCTGCGTGCGCCACGTGTACAATCTGGCCCCCCATACAAACGCATACACCAGGATTTCACACAACGGCGGTTGAACGGCGTGGCTCTCACTTGCGTGAGAAGGCCGTGGAAGGTGCTGTTTCAGCGCGTCTTCCAACCCAGCCCACCAGTCCGCCACTCCATGCAACACAACACACACACACACATAGCATTTCACATCATCCCGCCTTCATGTTCGGGAGAAATTAATTGTCTAGGCGGGCATTCAGTGACCCATTGAAGTGAAAAATTGGTAGCTTGGCGGGACACCTCGGTCCCTCCCAGAACGGAAGGTCAGGCTGAAAGGGCTGCTTCCTGATGTGTCCTTTCAGGTATTCTCAGTGGTCTGTGGTAAATCGGAACTAGTTTCGTTTCATTCACCGCGCGTAGTGTGCGTGTGTGAG